CTACAAGTCATCAGTGATATGATTCATAAGATGTATCACGATACTGATGACTATACAAATTTTTTTGTTTTGACAATTTTATTTATTAATCGAACTGAAAACTATAAAAAAAAATTATAATACTAAAGTTAGCCGACATTTAAAATTTTTTTTTTAAATTAAATGAGAATAAAAAAATATTTTATAAAAATTGTACTTAAAATTTTTCAAGTTTTTTTTTTGTAATAATTTTATTAATTTTTTTAATGAAAAAAATTTTTCAAATTATTAAATATTGGCTAACTTAATTAAAGCATTAAGAAAATAAATAAAATAAAAATGAAAAAAATTCATACCGTTTGAAATGCTCTCTTATACGATCCTCTCGGATGTTTTCCGGCAGATTTCCAACCCACAGGTGACGTGTCTCTCTAACCATTTTGCTCCGAACTCTTCATTTGGGATCGGATGTTGTGTTATCGTTTTGCGGCACTGTACAACGACACACAACTACAAATCAATATATAAATCAATTTATATATATATATTTTTATAAATTACAAATATATATTTGCTTTTATATATATTTTTTTCACAGGCACACTTTTTCACCATTTGCAAAATAAAAAAGAAAAAAAAAGAAAAACCACACAAGTGCCAAGTAAAGGGTAGACTTGACTCCTCTGGTAGAAACACACTTGTTAAAACTTTATCTTATAAATTTAAAACCGTACTGATTAAAGAGCACTGATTAAAATGCTATTCCTTTATTCCTTTATTTTTTATGTATCACCACTAACCAATCAATCAACACACTGGTCACAATAAATCACTTGATGGTAAAAGGTGATGACCCCGTAGTAAAACGGGGTTGATTACCTATGCTGTTACAATTATTATTATTATTTAAATATTTTTCCCAAGATATATATTTGCAGTAATTGACAAATATATCAAATAAAAAACATAAACCATTAATAATGCGCTCGCGATAAAGTAGCACCACAATCGCATAAATTAAATAATTATCAACAAATAATAATAATAATATAAAGAAGAATATACCACTGACATTAACAGTAGCATCAGCAATATTAACCGTTGTTGCTGAACGCCACATGGTACAACAACACACTCAAAATCTAATAAACCCTAATCTTACACCCCACACCACCTTCATCATTATTATTATTATTATTATTATTAATCACCATTACCACCAATTACCATACGTTTAATTACAACAACGTTCAAACACTTGCTGCCCCGTATTCCAATTTCATATAATTATTTTCACTTGTTATAAATTTATAATAATAATTTAAATGATTTTTTTTTTTTAAATAAAAATTAACCAAACAAAAAATACTTTTTCCTTTTTTAAACACTGCTGGTTAATTCCTTCACATCTTAATCACTTCACAATCTCAATTTAAATTTCCATTGAAATATTTCACTGGATAATACTTTTATCCTTATTATTTCTGCTGTTAATTTAATCAATTAATAATGATGTACGACTGATTAAACAAAAATAATAAAAACTCGTATACACTGTTACAATTATATAAATATTATAATTTAATATTAGAAAATAATTAATAACTGGGATATCGAGTATTATTGTAGTAATAATAATAATAATAATAATAAGAAGTATAATATGTGTATACAGTTTAACAACCGCTCTTTTAATTTTAACATGTACACGGACGGAGCTGTGTTCGCTCCTTCTCACTGCACTACACTACACGAAGTGACGTCACCGTGGCGGGCTCGTAATGTGGCTCGCTGGCCAACCGATTCTACATGCTAGTAGGGATATGTAGGGGCACGGTACGAGTCTACCTCGAGAGGCGGCTCACGATCACGATCTAAAGTCCCCGCCGGGAGGTATAAGCACTGTGGTGGGGGCAAATGCTTTTGACGCGCACACACACACTTTATATTATACAGTATATAGGCTGCTGTACATAGGTACTACTATACTATGTACATTTATGTATACACACTATATGTATAAACGTTGATATAATAGATGTGGATGTATTTAGGTGGGTAGAGGTAGGGAGAAGCTAAAGCTAACTCAGTAGAATTCAAGCAAGGACATGTGGGGTGAAGAGGGTAGCACGGGATTCTAAAGGAGGGATAACGGGTCGAACGAGCTAACCCAACCCCCGCACCGCGGCCTAAACCCAGGCCATTTTTTTTACCATCCACATCCACATCCACCATCGTCTCTCTCTCTTCTCTCTTTTAACTTTACTTGTATATATTTATATGCTGATCTTTTATATACTTTCTGTTGCTGTTGCTGTTGTTGGATCCAGCGCAACTAACACCCGGTATTTGTTCTACTATTGCTTTTGCTTACATCCAACATTTATATCTACTGATTTTAAGGACTCGCTGGATTAATTTATTGTAAATCGGTGGATGATTATTTTAATTATACTTGTGACAAATAATTAAGACCTGTGGAATTTTATATAAAATTTAAGTTTATAAATATCTTGTTTTATTTGGATTTGTCTTACCTTACACTGCGCCATTTTATTAAATGAAAATAAAGTTAGCAGACATTTAAAAATTTTTATGATTTTTTTTTTTTTATTAAAGAATTATTAAAAAAAAATTTTCATTTGTTAAAAACTTCAAAAATTACAAGTGCAATTTTTTAATAAATTAACAAAAATAAAAGAATCAAAAATGTCGGCTAACTTTATTATTATTTTTATTGAGCATTAATTTAAAAGTATCAGGATCAAGCTACGCGTTCTGATACTATCCAGACATATGCTGCAGTTTCTTCTCTGGATTATCTGTTATAGAATTTTATTACTTTGCGTTTCTTTTTTTGTTTTTATTTTTTTAGAAATATCGTGTATTGTTCTCCCGGGCGCGTCGATGACGTAACTGAGAATTTTGTTTTTCGTAAAAATTTTACGGATACTTATATAGGCTGTTTTGTCTCGAGATTTATTTATCAGTGAAAGGTCAACTTTGTTGTCGGTTATTATCATTATTTGGCTTAATTACTTTTATTTTATTTTAGTTTCAGATAGTCTATATCGATTTACTTTTTTTATTTAGCGGGTCGATAAAATAAAAATGTTATTATTTTTGGATGATTCGATAGTGATGGCTGACCCAGGACGCCATTACGTGAAATGTGAAAGCCAAGATGAGTTGGTAGATAAGTGCCGCCATGTGTTTGTTTCTTTAGACTGAAAGTGGCGCGCTTTAAAAGCCCGCGAATATTTGAATTTAAAAAATAATAAAATTCACATTTTTATCTATTATTATGTTAAAATTTTTATTTTATAAATATTTTAATTTAAAAATTCTTTATAAGTAACATTTGTTTATAAAATTTAATCAACTTATTTTAGTTTTAAAGAAATTAATGTTTCCATTAAGAAATTAATGTTTAATGTAAAATTTTATTTTCAATAAAAAATCAATCTAAAAATTCTTTTTTTTTTTTTACTTAATAAAATTTTTTAATTATACAATTGTTTTTAAATAATTATTACAATTCCACTAAAAAACTTGAATGATATTTTATAAATTAATTTCATTAATTTTATTAATTTAATAATTACAATTATTAATTAATTTTATTTATTCCCAATTATAATTCATTTTTAAGAAAAGTAATTATTATTTATTATTTTACAGCCAATAATTTAAAAAATAAAGTTATTTATGTGTTTTAAATAATAATTTTATTACATAAATCTTAATTTAAAATTTTAATATGTTTTTATTTACTTTAAATCAATTAAAGATTTAATTTTATTACTTTTAATTTAATAAAGAAGTAAGTGAACTAATTAAACGTGTATTATTAACCATTAACCTCTTTTTAATTGAAGATAATCAATACTTTTTATGTAAAATTATGTAATTAATAAAAACTGAACTAATTTTTATAAATAAATAATCAAATTAAGGATTTTTATTACTTTTTTTTATTGTAATAATCATAAAAGTGTTAATTAAGAAGAAAATTAAGAAACTGTATATTGAAAATAACAATTATTATTTCAAAATTATTTTAAATAAAGCGAAACTCGAAATCTTTTAACTGAATATATAAACAAAGTGATTTTTTTAATTATTCATGCTATTTTTATTGAGGGCCAGTTTTTTAATCCGAGATAAAATTTTATCCGAGATAAAAGTACCGCCAATAAAATAAAAAAAAAAAATAAATAATTTAGCGATGTGATATTGCTCTCAATTAGTTCTCCATGAATTTGGTCGTTTATTTAAATAAAAATAGATATGTCAAACGCAAGATATGAGCTCGAAGGACTCAAAAGCATAGAACAGCTACCTCTTTGAGCTCATAAAGCTCAAAATAACACATAAATTGTAAATTTGGAGCTTGAAGAGCTCAACAACATTATAAGTGCAATTTCAAGCGCTTAGGTATGGAATTAGCGGCAAGTTCCAGGGATCTCCTTCAGGGTCATCCGTTTTCCTAATTTTTATTTTATTTATTTACAATCAGGAAGTTGTCACAGTTGAAGGTGAATATTTCTGTGACATGTGGCTAATGTTTATTTACTTTAATTCAAAATAAGTGACTGAATTCAAGGAGAATTACTCGTAAGCAATATCACTGTGCTGAATGATTTATTTTTTTTATCATAATGGCAGTATTTTTATCTCGGATAAAATTTTATCTCGGATTGAAAAACTGGCCGTGAATAAAAATTATTTTTAATTTATCATAAATAAAATGAAAGTTTTGAAATAAAAGTATACATTTATTGAAATATAAAAGAGTTTGTTTTGTTATTCTATTTGTATACTTAACTGGAGGTTTCTAATGGCAACCAAAAGTGTTTACGGTAAATTAAACATAATTACTCATTCCTTTTATGATCGTAAAGCTCTTTCAGTTGACGAGATTAATGTTTTTGTATTTATAACAATTCAATTAAATAGAAAAAGCATTATTGTGTTACATAAATAATAAACGCTAATAATAGATTGAATAAATAATAAAAATGTCAGAGAGTAAATTAAATAATGAATATAAAGAGCCTTCTGTCACGTCAAAAGATCCTAATGAACGGATTCTCGCTAGAAGAATGCGGATACAGAAACGATTAGAGACTATTAAAAAGTAAGAACAATATTTTACTTTATAATTAATTAATTACTAATAAATAAATTAATTAATTAATGAATTAAAATAGTTTTTTTTTAATCATTTTATAAGGCAGGATAATAAGGAGGATAAGGAGTCGGATGAGAAAACAGAAACGGAAAAACAAATAGATGCAAGCGCTGAGTTAATGCTAAAGTTAGTTGCCGAAGGTGATGAAGTGGTAGGTTAAATAAAATATATTTTATTCAGTGATAAATATAATTAACTTTTTATTTAGTCGTTTTCATTAAGTCTGAGTATGTGCTTTAAATTAGATTTCAAATGTGAGAATAGCTAACGAAGCCCGCGAAGTTCATCGGCAAGAAGAAGATTTTGCTATACGCAAAAATTTATTTGACAAACTAGAAGCTGAGCTAAAAGATTCTTTGGAAAAATATGAAGAAATAAATTCAGTATGGCCTGAATTACTTCAGTCAAAAGATCCTCTAGATATTTATGATGGTATTCAATCCCAAAATGATAAGTGTCAGAAAGTTTTAGCGCAAAAAGATGTTATTATTGAGGAATTAAAAAAAGCGCTTGAAAATGCGGATATTAAGTTTGCTGAAGATCAAAAGAAACAAGATGAAGATATTGATATATTGATTGACCGAATTGATTCTCAAGTATTTTTAATTATTTTAATTTATATTAAGAATTTTTTAATTAATTTTGAGATTATGAAATTTTTTTTATTCGTCAATAAATTTTTGGTTAATTTGTTGAATTAAAATTATGAATAAGTATTTAAGTTAATTTATTTAAATTAGCAGATATCTGACAATTTTTTTAATTTATTTAACAGATAAATTATTTTGAAAAATTTTCATTCATAATTTTTTACATAAAGAATTTTTTTTATAATAATTTATTTGTTAAAAAAATTATTTAAATTATTAGATGTCTATTTCACTGCAAATTTAATTTCTAAAAAAAGAAAAATAAATAATTATTTAAAAAAAAAATTTTTTATAGGTAAATATAATAAATAAAGGATATCGCCGAGAACTAGTATTGATAGAAGACGCACTGAAAAATGAACGGAGTAAAATACTGGAAGACATTACCAAGAAGTGGGATGCATTGTACAAAGAACGACAAGATAATGAAATCCAAGGTGTTGAACGTAGACGTGAAATAATGCGTGAATATGAGAATGACATGAACCGTGTATTGATTGAGCATCAAGAGCAGTATCGAGCACAAAAGATTTGGCTGGAGACTGAATGTCAGAAACTTCAGCAGGATGTTGAAAATATGAAGGCATTATGTATGCTTAATCTCGAGAAACTGGATTACAACTATGCTGTTCTCAAGAAACGTGAAGATGAAAACGCGATTATTAAAAATCAACAAAAACGACGGATCAACAAGTACGATTATACTATTAGTGATGTATAAATTATTTTAGTCTCATTTTATTATGATAAGATGTTTATTTCGAGTCGCAACATATCAAGATATGATCTTGACATCATCCGGTGTGTTATATAAAGTACATTACAAGTCAACAAGTTGAAAAATAAAGTCTAGTCAATACAAACGGGTTTATTTCTATATAGTCATCTATATTATTAAAGTCATATGATAAAATCGGTTTTTTTAGTTTCATTGCAAAGGTCTTGAATTTGTACCTTTTCAAAGTTTCATTTCATTCGACTCGATAGTCAATTTATTATGATAAGTATTTAGACTGCATTCGAAAATGCTCTATCTCTAGATGCATAATTAAGAAATGACCTTTTATCTTGTGAAATATTGACATTTTTAAAGATATAAGCTCATCCCGATGTTACACTCATCGAGACCTTTCATTTGAGTACCCACATCAATTTTTCATATATTTATATATATTATATATAAATGTATATATGAAAAATATATCAAAAATGCATGTGGGTACTCAAATGAAAGCTCTTGATAAGTGTAACAACAAGATGAGCTTATATCTTTAAAAACGTCAATAGTTAAGAAAGTACAGTGATATAAAGTACATTACAAGTCAACAAAGTTGAAAATAAAGTCTAGTCAATACAAACGGGTTTATTTCTATATAGTCATCTATATTATTAAAGTCATATGATAAAATCGGTTTTTTTAGTTTCATTGCAAAGGTCTTGAATTTGTACCTTTTCAAAGTTTCATTTCATTCGACTCGATAGTCAATTTATTATGATAAGTATTTAGACTGCATTCGAAAATGCTCTATCTCTAGATGCATAATTAAGAAAATGACCTTTTATCTTGTGAAATATTGACATTTTTAAAGATATTAAGCTCATCCCGATGTTACACTCATCGAGACCTTTCATTTGAGTACCCACATCAATTTTTCATATATTTTATATATATTATATATAAATGTATATATGAAAAATATATCAAAAATGCATGTGGGTACTCAAATGAAAGCTCTTGATAAGTGTAACAACAAGATGAGCTTATATCTTTAAAAACGTCAATAGTTAAGAAAGTACAGTGCAATTTAACATAATTAAGAAACTACCTTGTATCTTGTGTACTATTGATATTTTTAAAGATATAAACTCATCCCGATGTTACACTCATCGATACCTTTCATTTGAATACCCACATCAATTTTTCATATATTTATATATATTATATATATGTATATATGAAAAATATATCAAAAATGCATGTGGGTATTCAAATGAAATCTCTTGATAAATGTAACATCAAGATGAGCTTATATCTTTAAAAACATCAATAATTAAGAAAGTACAGTGCAATTTAACAAAATTCATTATTTAATAAAGCAAACATTTTTTTTATAGTTCACAAGTCACAGCAGTTACATAGTGACTAGTATTTTAATATTTATTTATAGAATTATTTTTTTTCTTAATTAAATTATTAATTCATCTATTATGAAGAAAAATTTTTATTTTAATAAAACTTATACAATTAAATTTTTTTCATAAAAAAATTAAAACTTTAAGATTACATTACAAAGTTAACATTATGTATGTTAAAGTTTAAAAGTTCAACTAAAAGTTATAATTGAAATAATTATAATTTTGTTAAAATGTCAATTTTTAAAGTTTAATTAAATACTTTTAATTCAGTCGGTGGTGTTACTAATTTTCATAAGTCACATTAAATGGAAATAAATCAATTAATTTTTTTTAAACTAGTAATTAACTTTAAATATTAATGGAGTAATTAAATTTAAATGCAGAGACAAAACGAATCGAAATTAATTGATAAATGGTTATTTATTCAATTAGATTGGCTATAGAAATAAATCACTTTACAATTATACTACTTAAATATTGTAACTAATAAATTAATTAATCAGTTTAATTTATTTCCAGACTTCAAGATATTATTACAGAATTAAAGAAGAATTACGCGGAACTAGAAAATTCAACTCGTTTAAAAATTGAAAAGTTACAAAGTCAAATCTTAAAAACCCAAAAAAGTATTAAAGAGTTGGAAACTAAGTCAAATCATTTCACGTCGGTCAATGATAGACGATTTATGCAGATTTGGGAAATGAATACAAAGAATGCGGATAAATTATTGGAGGAGGTAAAATTTACAAAAAAATACTATTGTTTAAACTTTAAAATATATTTATTGTATAATTAATAAAATACATATTAAATTAAAGATATTCAAAGTGGATAAAATTTTGTATGAACAAATGTTAGGATTAGAGTGGGAGCCACCGGAGGAGAATCTGCTAAAAAAAGAAGATTTACCGTCGTATCAAGAGGCTATGCGTATTATTAATCAAAGTAAATATTCATTTTAATTTATATATTTATTTCTGTCTATGAGTATTGAATTTATTATATTTTATATTTTAAACCGTAGGTAATCAAGATCAAAATATGATGACGAAATTATATGATCAGCAGAGAAAGGATTCGTCATCAGAACGAATAAATTTAGAAGGAAAATTATTAAATCGAGTAATGAAAAAAATTGCCGACGAAACTGGATTTATGATTGAGGACAAAGTTCATGAACTTCTGTCAACGCACACTAAAAAAGCTCAAATTATTATTAAACTGGATCAAGTCTTCCAAGTAATATAATTTAATTTAATTTAATATTTTATTAATAAACATATAATTAAAAATAGAAGAGTTTAAAATTTTTAAATAAATATCTAAAAATTTTTTTAGATTTTTATAAAAATTAAATTATAATGAAAAAAAATTCCACATGTAGAAATTTTAAAAAATTACAAGTGCAAATTTTTAAAAATATTTTTTTTATAATAATTGATTTGTTAAAAAATTTCAAGAATTTTTAGATGCTTGCTAATTTTATGAAAATCAAGTTAGCAGACATCTAAAAATTTTTAAAATTCTTTTTATTGAAAAAATAATAAAAAAAAAAAATCCACTTGAAAAATTTTAAATGTAATTTTTAAAAAATATTTTTTTGTTCCAAATTAATAAATAAAAAAAAATTAGAAACGTCGGCTAACTTTAGTATTATGCTAATTTCAGTAATTACATTTTATTTAGCTGTCACTTGACAATTTTTTAATTTTCTTCAACAAAAAAATTTGTTCTAAAAAATTATTTTAAAAAAATGGCATTTTTAATTTATTAAAATTTCTTCAAGTCCATTTTTTTTAATAATTTTTTTTTTTCCATAATTCATTTATTAAAAAAAGTTAAAAAAATTGTTAAGTGTAAAAATTTAACATTCATTAAAAAAAATTTCCGATTTATAAATTAAAATTTTTTTTCTCATCCAATTTATTTATGAATATACTTTTTACAGGCATTAAATATAACGTCGAAAGATCAAATTCATCTGTTAATAAATTTTTTTCTACCTTACTCATATTGCTTGACGTGTTCAGAACAAGAAGACAAAGATACTGAATCATCGGATGAGTTTAAAAAAAATCAACTATTAGAAGAATCAGATAAAGTAAATTCTGATGATACAAGATCGATCATGGATGAAAAAACATTACGATTAAAAGAACAAGTTTTAAAGTATGTTACAACTGAGGGGAAAAATGATGATGAAGCAGATACCGAATCAAACCATTCGAGTGATGTAATATGTGCTGGTAGTAAAAGTGAGATAGAAGAAATAAAATTGACGTGTGATAAGGGCCACTTGTTGGATATTAAATCAACAAATGTTATAAAAGCTCTTCGTGAATTCGTCGAAAAATACAACAAAGTGACACATGTCTTATCCGATAATTCGAAACAGGAAAAAGTACTTGCAGATAATAAGATTGTACTGTCACGATGCATATCTGAGAAAGATATTATCGAGTACTGGCGACGTTACAGAGAAATATTCGATGACAAGAAAGAAAAACTCTGGGATGCAATGATTATTGGATTACAAAAGTATCATGATATTTTAAAAGAAAGGCATAAAGTAATAGGTGATATTGAAGGCATCCAGCGACAAAATGCTGAATTGCGTCGACTGCTCGAGAGTTGTAGAGTCAAAGTAAATATTAACTATTCATTATGTATTTTTGATCATAAAAAAATTAATGTTTAATTAATTATTCCTTTCAGCCTGACGCTGGGTCAATGCACCGAAAAACTAAATCAGCTAATATATTTAATTAATTAATGTAAATTATTAAATATTTAAAAATTATCAAACAACATTTTATTGATTGTGATGTTTAAATTCACGTTTATTACTCAGACGGATATAATAATTACTGACACAATACTGTAAAATGACTTTTGTTTTGCACTATATTATTTTTCTTTTCCATTATTAAATAGTCTATTTAAAATTGAATTTAAAAAGCGTAATAAAAATTATTTAATGCTTATAATTATTTTTAATTCATTAATTTTAGAGTGAAATAAAAGCATAAAATATTTAAAATGTGATGTAAAATAAAATAAAATAAAAATTTTTAACTTCCCGCTAAAAAAATTAAAAATTTTCAAAAGTTGGAAAGTTATTGGTTTTACCCTTTTTTTAGAAAATCGAGTTTTCATCAGATCTCAACGTTTTGAAGTCCTAGGAAGCTTCCCCGATTGTTTCCGTGATGATGTCCGTATGTCTGCTTGTAAGTGTGTGTGTGGCCGTAGGTAAACCACTTATAACTTTTGAACGGCTTGACCGATTTCATCGCGGGTGGCGCTATTCGAAAGGGCTTGACCAAACTTATATTTTAATTATAATTTGGACCAATTTGGACGAGTAGATTTTGAGAAATCTCAACAAAAAAAACCACAAGAAAATTTTTCAAATGTGGTTTTTTTGGAATAACTTTTAAACGGCTTTACCGATCGATTTCAAAAACTAATCAGCTTTTAAATTAAAAAAACTACGTCGATCGCCACCAAGCTGGCCAAAATCGGTTGATTCGTTCGTGAGTTATCTTTGATGAAAGAAAACCAGAAAGTGTTTTTTTGGAATTACTCCAAAATTCCTACACGGAAAGCACAAAATGACACTGTATATCATCCCAGATTTATACTCAGTGATATTTGTGGTGAAAAAAACTTTCAGATAGTAGCTAGAAAAATTCAGATTATACTGCGTGATATCTGAATTATATTCTGCTGAGAAAGTCTTAATAAAAGGACGAAACATTCAACTAAAATCAACACGTAGTTTGAAATTATTTATCCTCAATTCTTGTGATCAATTTTAGTTATTATATTCATTGTAATTTGGATTATACTAGCTACTATCTGAAATTTTTTTCACTCAGTATAATCTGGGATGATATCCAGTGTCATCCCGTTCTTTCCATGTAGTTCGATCAATTTCAACTTAAAAATTCTTTATGGGGCTTAAAAAACTGCTTCGAATGCCGCCAACCGCGTGAAAATTGATTATTCATTCATTCAAAAGTTATTGCGGTTTGAAAATTAAAAAAATAGTGTTTTATTAAACTTCTATCAGACTTTTGAGGTCTATCAAGCTAGCATGGACTCGTCCATCATGCATTGACTTATTATTCAAGCAACAAAATTTATTTGTGATGCTAAATTTGTTGCTCCATTTAGAATATTGTTGCTTGTTTAGATTACGAGAAATCAATAATAATATCCGTCCAAGATGAGTCTTGCCACTGCTACCTAAATTTTTGATCTCGAAGAGCTCAAGAACGTAATAAGCGCTCAATTTTGAGCGCTTAAATATAGAATTAGCCGGAAGTTGCAGGGATGGCATTTAGGGTCAATCGTTTTCTTAATTTTTTTTTTAGTAATTACTTGTATAACCACCAGAAATAAAATTATTAGCAAGTGATGGTATGACATACGATGAAGCATCGTAAGACTGCATATTTCTTTGCGGGTGATATTGGTGATGTTGTTGTTGTTGTTGGTGATGATGATGTTGCTGTTGGTGATTCTGTTGGTGATGGTGATGTGGTTGTTGATATTGCTGCTTATTTCCGTACGGCACGTAGCGTTTTTTCTTATTAGCTGTTTTCAAAATTGGCTTGTACACTTTGTGCAAGTGTTTCTTTGACGTAATATGCTATTGGGTAGAATAAAATTTTAATTAAAAAAATAAATTTATAAATTTTATATAAATTATCATTATCTTCATTTAGTGATAAAAGTAGTTAGCCATACCACATCATATTGTTGTTTAGAGTTAAAGAATTTATTGCACTGTTCACAAGTCAGTATTTCCCCTTTCTTTTTAGGAGCAGCCGCTGTTGTTGTTGTAGAATCGGCTTGAGTTCCTGGAGATTTTGTTGGCTGTTGCACGGGCTTGCTGCCGGTGTCGGTTCCGGTCCATCCACCTATGCATCAATGTGCAATCAACACTATCTATCTATCACAACTGCAATAGATGCCATTTGTGATAATAAATTAGCTTGAGCTACATTCATGCCCCAAAAAGAATACTCATTAATCGAAAGATTTTTTTTTTTCGCAACACAAAATATTTATCCAGAATTTTATTATATTTGTGTTGCGTAAAAAATTCTGACGATGCTTTCAGGTTTGAAGAATTTTCCATAGCAGAAGAAAAAATAAAAAAAAAAGAAGCAATTACAATAAAAATATAAATAAAGCTTTTTTATTTAAATAAATAGAAAATTTGTTTAGCAGAGTTTTAAATTTCCAAATGAAATGACACAAATAAATTAATAACAAAAAAGAAAATAAATAAAAACAATACAAAAATTAATTAATTATTAACAATACATATGAAAAATATAATTTAAAAAAAAAAAAACAGTAATGAATTAATTCAGTAGATTATAAAATGACAGACAAAAAGTAATGTGAATATTAAACATGCAAAAGCAAAAAGTTGTGAGCAGCAAACTATCACTGAGGCATTTCTATTGGACCACTTATTCAATTTAGTATAACGTTTTATTTCACGTTTACTCAACAATAAATTTTGGGTTTCATCTAAATTATTACCTTTCTCGGCTTTTTTTTTGTGTCTATTTCCTGAAATATCAAACAATCAATTTTTATTGTTATTGTAATGAAAATAAAGTTAGCCGACATCTAAAAAATTTTATGATTTTTTTTATTAAAGAATTATTACAAAAAAATTTTTTCATTTGTTAAAAACTTCAAAAACTATAAGTGCAATTTTTTAAAAATATATTTTAGTTATAATTTAATAAATTAAATAAAATAAAAAAAAATCAAAAATGTCGGCTAACTTCATTATTATGTTATTGTATAATAATTAAGTTAGCCGACGTTTCTAATTTTTTTCTATATTTTTTAAAAATTGCACTCAAAGTTTTTCAAGTTTTTTAGATATGACATTTTTTTTCTTATTTTTTATAACAATTTTTTCAATATAAATAATTATAAGAATTATTAGATGTCGGCTAACTTAATTTTTATTAATATTGTAATTAATGATTAAGATATATTTAAATTAATGACAAATATTAAATTTAATCTTATAAAAATAAAAATAAAATTACCATTCAAGTGAGTTTGAAGCTGTTGGATTGAATTGAGACTAACATTACATACATTACACTTTAATCCGCTGGCTTCTTGGTCTTTGGAGAATGCTATTTTCGTTCCTCCTAAATTTTCCATAATTACTTTTGAACGTATCTAAAAAATTTCAAGTGCATTATTAATTTATGTTTAATGTTTATTCTCTAAATTGCATATATAAATAAGATTAAAACGTGGGATGTGTTGGTGATACTCTAGTTTAATTTAGCCCTCAATAAAATGAGTAAAAAGTTTTTAACTGTAGGTCAATACTTATATATCAAAATATATTTTTTAACATCTATAAAAATAAAACAAGTAAAATAAAATTAAAAAGCAATCTCATAAATTTTGTGTCTAATTACCAGGAAAATAAATAAATACCTGTTTTGCATGTCGTGCTCCTTGTAAATGAGCATCTAGGACAGTTTCGCTGGTGAAACACAAATCACAATCATGACACCTAACTAATGGTTTTTTGGTCGGCAAATTTCCCATAATATTATCAACTACAGCTTTTGTGACAGGATCAGTGATGGACTGCATGATTGCTTCTGTAAATAATATTATTTTAATCAACAATCAAATCAACTTTATTTCACTACAAATAAATAAATAAAAACAAATGAATTATTATAATTGATAAAAAAAAAAACAAACGAGCAGAAAAAAATATGACATTTTTAGCAATCACTAGAAAATTTTTTAATTTTTTTTAACAAAAAAATTTGCTCCAATTATTTTTAAAAAATTGCATTTTTAATTTTTCAAAATTTCTAAGTGTCAATTTTTTTTTTATAGTTTATTTTTTAAAAAAATTATTAAATATCTGTTAAATTTATCATCATAAAAAAAATCAATAGAATCTTGGCATTAAACAAATACTTACTATACTTAAAAACCAACTTTTTTAATTAAATAATTAATAGTAGTTAAAAATCACTCAGTTTATTTCTATTAACTATGAAGAAATAGAGTAACTTATGAAGAAATAGAGTAAAGTGTATATTTTTTAAATAAATAATTTTGATATTCGACAGCAAAAGTTAAACATTGAATTGAAGGCTAAAGCAAAACCCCCAATGTGTCAAATTTCCAATGGCGAAACCGGGCGACAGCAATGATACTGAAGTTAGATGAAAATTAATTTAGCAGATATATTTAATAATTTGCAGAACTTTTTTTTATAAATAAATTATGGCAAAAACAATAAAAAAAAAAAAGAATTGACATGTAGAAATTAAAAAAAATAAAAAATGCAATTTTTCAGAATTAATTTAAATGTTAAATAAAATTAAAATTTTGTCAAGTGACAGCTAACTTTAATATCATCAAAAATCTTTAATTTTTTCCATTTATTAAATAACAATTAAAAAAATATTTCCAAAAAATTACACTTATAATTTTTCAAATTTTTAATAAGTAAAAATTATTTAATAAAAATTTTTTCTCAATAAAAAAATTTTTTAAATCAGCTAACTTCATTTTCATGAGAAATTTGCGATAACAACCTTAAGCCGCCAGAGCGACAGAATTTTTAAATCGCCGAGCCAGCTCGACCAATCAGAATTTCTTATAAATAAAAATAATTCTTATAAATTCAATGAGCAGGAGCTTAAAGTAACCATCCAATTACAGGACTGGTAGTTGGTATATAGAAGCGTGAATTGACACACACCAAACCTCGGAATATATCTATTTGTATATAGCTTACATATATATACTTACTACTTATATATAACTTGTATATATATACCACCGAAATATATATATATATATATATATAAATTGTCTCCTCTTGGTAGGTACATATATATCTAGTAATATATGAGTAGATGATATATATGTGTGTGTGTGCGTGGTATCGTGAAATATAGCAGCAGCCATCTTATATTTTGTGTTGAAAGAAAAACATTATTTGTACAAATGTATCGGCTGATAGTGTTAAATTAACTTACGTTAAGTGTACGCTCGATGAAGCGTATCTTTTTTACTGTTTACCTGGACCACTATATTAGCAAAGGTTTGTTATTATATGTTTATTAATAAAAATATATATTTGTTCTTTTTCTAATACCTCAAGCATCATCTCGTGTGTTGGTGTGTTGGTTGATTATACATCACAGCGCGCGTTGTGTGTTTCAAGAATCCGGTTTTGGCGTCAAAATATCATCACGCTGTTCTTTAAATATCTAGTATTTATTTTTTACAGTGATAAATTGATAGTTAATTATTTATATTATTTATATTAATTATTTATTAAATCATTATTCAATGCCCGCGGAAAAACGTTATGCAATCAGCTGATCTAGTAGATCTCTTTTGTCACTTGTCAAAAATGAATGTCAAAGTAATAAGATTCCGGTAGTTGGTCAATGTCGCGGACGATCATTGCACTATTATCACTGTAATAATAACAATACTTATAATTACAGTTTTAGTTATCATTATTATAAATAATAATAATAATAATAATAATAATAATAATAATAGTAAAATAGTTTGTGTAATAATGGATGCTACATACTATTATTAATTAAATTGTGTAACACAGGTGGATTGGTACGCAGGATATGAGCAGTTTGTCAAGCGCAATCTGACTCTGCTCCCCAATCAACATTTAATACATCAGCATCACCACCACCACCACCACCACCAGCCGCATCACCAGCAGCAACCAGGTCCTCAACAGCAGCAGCAACAACAACAACAAGCAGGCCAGCCGCCTCCACCTCCTCCACCACCACCACCACCACCACCACCGCCTGCTCCTTCGGCTCCAACATCTCAGCAACAACAGCAGCAGCAGCAACAACAACAGCAACAACAACAACAGCAACAGCAACATCACCAACAATCTCACCACCACCAACAGCAATCTGGCGGGCCAACGTCATCGCGCCGTCACGTTATGACATCAATGTTTGATCCCCAAGTTAAAAGTGAACCAATGGGATTTTACTCAGTGGCATCAAGTAGATCAGAGGGTTCTAATTCTATGGTAAATTTGTCTGAGGACCGGGAGGATTTGTCACAAGAAGAGCGAATTCAAGCACAAAATATGCATCAGCAACAGCAGCAGCAAAATCAAGGGAATCAAAACACACCTGATGGACCGATGCGGCAGTCCAGTAGTCAGCAGACAACTAAAGAGGGTAGCAGAGCTAAACCACAGCCGTGTAAGGTGTGTGGTAAAGTATTGTCATCGGCCTCGTCATACTACGTACACATGAAGTTACATTCTGGTAATAAGCCTTATCATTGTACTATTTGTGAGGCTAGTTTCTGCAGAAAGCCGTATCTTGAAGTGCACATGAGAACTCACACCGGGGAGCGGCCGTTTCAGTGTGAATTATGTCTCAAGAGATTTACACAAAAAAGTAGTCTCAATACACACAAACGCGTCCACACTGGGGAGAGACCTTATGCGTGTGATATTTGTCAAAAACGTTTTGCTGTTAAAAGCTACGTAACAGCACACCGTTGGAGTCATGTTGCTGAAAAGCCACTTGTTTGTGACCGTTGTTCACTTACATTTACATCCAAAAGCCAATTTGCTATTCACATTCGTACGCATACTGCTAGTACTACGTACGAGTGTAATATTTGTGGTCGTACATTTGTACGTGATAGTTACTTGATTCGGCATCAGAATCGAGTCCACCGTGATTTGAGCCAAAATAATTCTAATCACAATCCATCAACTCCGCAGAGCAGTGGTGGTGCTACGACTCCTGGTACTGGCTTTGAAAGTCCTGTTTGTGATTTACGTTACAGTGAAGGACCATCATCACTTGACGGACTCGGCGGTGGTAAAGGTATATCTCCTGAAATAGCAACATTAGCTAAACATAACAGTCTTCATCTTCCGGTACCACTTTTACATCCGCAGACTATCAACTAGTGTTTAAACGGCAGCGCGTCTGAGTCCCTGCCGCTGCATCGGCAACAACTCCAACAGCAACAGCAACAGCAACACCAACACCAACAACATCACCATCAACAGCAGCAGCACCAGCAGTCACCGCCAAATGTAACACCTACTACAGTAGCGGCAATAACTACTATTACTAATCCATCTTTGATTCAGACAGCAACTACGGCATCATCCTCATTGTCGACATCATCACCTTCACCGTCACGATCAGCAGTTACAGCAACACCAATAAGTGTCTACCAAACTCGTATTTCATCTGGTTCGTTACATACTCCTGAGCCTCATCTCTATCCTCACTATATTACTTCCACAGAGTCCCAAAACTCTCATTCACACTATCATCATCATAATCATCATAATCATAACCAACCTGATCATGGTCATGGTAATATTATTCGCAGTGGTATTCCACCACCAGGAATTCATCCCGCATTATATTTGTACGCTCAGTACACTAATACATCTTCTATTTCTTATCCTGAATAAATCCAAGATTCAGCGCAATTAAAGCGACTAATTTATGCTAACAATTTAACACTTTATTGTTATTATTACTATTGTTATTTATATTATTATTATTATTATTATTATTATTATTACTACTACGACTATTATTTATAAAGTAGTGATAATAATACTTAAATGATAGCATAAATCGGTATTCCAAATCTCAAAATTGGTAGCACTTTTTCCTTATTTTCAAATATACGTATGGAAATATGTAATAATTAATGATAATAGTAATAATAAAAATAACAATAATATTAATAATAATGATACGATCATCATACATATTTATATTATATTTTTAAAGGAATTTAGTCACTTGAATCTGTGATATAGATAGTAATTATTATCAGCAAGATTTAAAATGAAAAAAATGAAAAGAAAAAAAAACGTACCGAAATATTGGTTTAATATTTTCATGTTAACAGACAGACTATTTAAATATTATAAAGCAATGTCACGGAGCGGTGTAGTTATTGAATTCGATATATATGTATATTAATATCAACAATTACAATAACACTAATAATAGTTCACAGTACTAAACACAACACACTCACTAAGAAAGAAGTAAAAAATAGTTATAATGATGGTCTCTACTTGGTCTCTACCGACAATACTTGTTAGTATATTTTCTTTTTATTAATTAGTTAACTACTTAGATAGATATTAAATAGTTTTATTTGTTGACAACTAGAGTTGTTGATATACTTTTAGTTTATTTTATTTTTTTTCATTAAAGTTTGACGCGTTTTATTTTTTTTAATTGCTAATTAAAGCTGCTTAACTTGACAAAAAAATTTGTTTTAAAAATATATATATATATATATATATATATATATGTATATATAATCGTGGACATTAATTTAAGTTTATATCAAAAATAGCCATTTGTTAACTCGAATACTTATAAAGTATAAATTTGAAAATTAATTGATAGTTTAATTTTTAAAATTAGTCCCTAATAAAAAATTAAATTAGCGAAATGGAAAGTTCATTAAATATAAATTCAGTCATTTATAAAACAGTGAAAAATAAAAATTTATGGCTACGTGAATTTAGTCAATTCTTACACATAAAGAACAAGATGATACTGGATATCATTCCAGATTATACTCAGTGTTATCTGTGGTAAAAAAATTCGAAAATTAAGATAAAAAAATTTTTTTTTTTTTTAAATTTTAGATTGTAGTTAGAAAAATCCAGATTATACTAAGTGATATCTGGATTATACTAGCTACTATCTGAAATTGTTTTTCACTCAATATAATCTGACATGATATCCAGTATCATCCTGTTCTTTCCGTGTGCTGTAAAAACTTATAAAATTATTCGATTGTAAAATTAGCCATTTTTAAATCTCTCGTAATTCTTGAATGAATTGACGGATGAAAAAATGATTTGAGGCATCTAAAAGGACTTCCATAAATTTATTTTTTTTTTTTTAATTAGAGCAGATTCGACCGACCCATTCAAAAGTTATAAGAAGTTTAAAAACGACTAATTTTACAATCGGCTAATTTTATAACTTTCTGCAGTAAGAATTGGCTAAATTTTTGTGTTTCAATATTTTATAAATTACTGAATTTATATTTATTGAAATTTTCATTCCCCTAGTTTAATTAATATCATTTTTTATTAGCAACTAATTTTAAAAATTAAATTACCAACTAATTTTCAAATCTATAGTTTATAAATGTTCGAGTCAATAAATGGCTATTTTCCAGTAATATTAAAAACATACTTAAATTAATGACCATGATTGTACTTGTAATAATATATTTAAAAAATTATTAAAAGAGGATTAATGATCTACGTGTGTGTGAGATTGAGGGTATTGGTCATGGTCTCTCATGGGCTTTTTCCTTATTCATTTCTATCACAATTGATTTTTATTATAACAAATAAATAATTAATTAATTGATTGATTAATTAATTAATTAATTACACTACTATTTTCTATAGAGATAATTTAATTATTTACATACTTTAGTTGTAATTAACAATTACTAGATGTATAGTTATAATTCATTGCAATAAGATTATTATATCTATTATTTCATTTAAAATAGTTTACGCAAACAATATTAATTAACATTATTTTATTTGTATAGTACTTATAATTACAAACAAAAAAAAATAGATATGTTCTTTTTATCATAATGCCGATGATAGAAATGTAAATATAGAAGTTACGCTGAACAGGGATGTTAAATCTAAAAAAGAAAAAATGAAAAAAAAAAAAAAAAATAAAATGTATGTCCGCTTAGATTTTATTTTTTTAGAATAACATTAGAGCCGCTTTATTAATATTAATGTTCTTGAAAAAAACAAAATAATTTGTTTTCACTGTAAAAATGTCTATATTTATAATTATAAAAAAATTTATTTATTTTTTATTTGTGTAACATAAAAAAGTAAAAATTATTTTATTTAAAAATTTTTATAAAAAAAGAATAAAACAAATGAAGAACATTAATTATTTAATTTAGTGGTTGTACTTATCAAAATTAAATAATTATTTATTTATAATTTTATCTCTTCTAAACAAGCGAGAAGAGCCATGACAATTGCGAGCAAGGATAAAAATATAATTCTATTTATAATTTAAAACAAAATTTATAAGAAACTGATATCTGTTTATTTTAAATAATTCAGTGATAAAAAATGTTCTATTATTTTTTATTTAATATTTTAATTTTTTAATAACCAGCTCGTAAATAATTAAAATTATTCTACTAAAATTTGAATTATTATTATTATTATTTTAATGTGTAATTAGCATAAGTATACTCGAGATTTTAAATAACATTTAAAGGTATCGGTAAAGACTGATTATAACAGACTGTAGTAACAAAAATGGATTATTCATGTTGAGAATAAAATCAAACATTTAATCAAACAAATTTAAAATGAACAAATGATAATAATAAACTATATTGGCTAGTCATCGCAGTCCACTTTTATGTAACTAAATATTTAAATGTTATATTTAATCTCTCAGTGTACTTGTGTTACTCTATTTAATAGTTTATAATAATAATAATAATCAGGTTTAGTTGTTATTTATGTATAAACTTTTATATTTTTATTTCAACACACAAAATAACTACTGAAATAATTAAATAGTCGCTTTAATTTCTGTTTTTTTTTTTTTTTTTTTTTCCTGTAAGCTTGTTTTATAATTTTAAAACTTTTATCTCTTCAGTAACAAAGCCTAGCAATCTCGTTTTTCTTATCGATAATTTGTTATATTATTCTAACTGTACAATTTGTTAATGATTTATTTGTCAATAAAATTGACAAATAAATTTACTCACCAGATTTTTATTCAAAATTAAACAAAAATGTATCGACCAATTTTTACAAGTTTTTAGAAAACTTCATAAAAAAAAATATTATTTATAAAGAAGAAAAAAATATCAGCTTAGCTGTTTATTTAATTGTCAATACGTAAAAAAAAATAATATTTATTGTCTAGTAAAAATTAACTTGTCATTTATTTTGATAATTTAACGTAATTTTATAAAACTAATTCGATTGTAAATTAAGTGATAATTTTTTTGGTATTTTAATAGTTTAGGATTAGTATTTGTAAAAATTACGTTAAGTTATTAATTATTTAAAATAGTCTGCTTAAAAAGCTAAGAAAAATTGTAAATAAAAATTTTTTTAGGCATAGAAAATAGTCGTAGAATATTTTCATTTAAGTAAGAAAAAAAAATCTTAATTTTAGAAAATTTACCGCTAAATTTTTATGTGACAGCACTTTAGTAATTAGAATAACTTGAAATTTAAGATCTAAAATAATATTAATAATAATAAACAACAATTATACGATAAAATTGTAATTTGTGTTACGTATACACAAAAAGTAGAAAAAATAGATGTGAATTCGATAAGAAACATAATGCGAGATTAATCTAAAATACTTTTTCATAGAGATTAAAGGAATATCGAGCGAGATTGGCGGACAAAATAATTAAATAATTAATTACTGAATTAATTATGGTAAATAATAATACATATGATATCTAATAATAATAGTAGTAATAATAAATAAATAAATGAAAATAAAAAAAAAAAACAATGTCTACGTCGCTCGAAATTGCGCCTGTACCATTTTGCTTCGTTAGCAGAATACGATGCCATTTATTTTTGTAATACGTTTACGTAGGGATAGTTATTATTTTTATATAGAGGTTTATTACCGTGCTACCGTAAGTCTTAGAGGCCTGAGTAGGGTAGATCATTAACAGTTAGATTATACCGCGGATATGAATCGCCTGCATCAAAATACATAACACTCACATACATGGAAAAAATAAGATAACACTGGATATTATCCCAGATTATAATGAGTGAAAAAAAATTTCAGATAGCTCGTACACTGAGAAAAAAAATACTTTTATTAAGAAAATTTTCTTGATCCAAGAATTTATGTTCTTGAAAATTTTCAAGAATATATATTCTTAACTCAAGAAATTATTAAATTGATTGAAATAATTTTTACTTAATTTAAATATTAGTATATTTAATAATAATAAAGCTATTCTATTGTTTATCTATTATTCAAAGATAAATATTGATGTTCTTTTCTTCAGAAATTAATAATTAATAATAATAGAATAATTTTCTCAATGTATAATCCAGATATAACTCAGTATAATTTGGATTATAATGAGTATAATTCAGATATCACGCAGTATAATCTGAATTTTCTACACAGAAAAAAAAAATTAATTTTAATTAAGTAAATAATTGTGAAAAATTTTATCTTCTTGATTTGAGTAAAAAAATTCTTGAACTAAGAAATTTTTCTTGGTTTAAAAAAATTTTACTCCAAGAATTTTTCGTCTTGGTTCAAGACAATGAAACTTCAAAATTATTTTCTTGGTTTAAGAATTTTTTTTTTGATTCAAATAAATTTTTTTTTTTTTTCAGTGTAGCTATTCTCTGAAATTTTTTTTTATCATAGATATCACTGAGTATAATCTGAGATAATATCCAGTGTCATCTTGTTCTTTCTGTGTACTCTCGCTTCTTTAAAATCTTAAATTTTTAAACTTTAAATTAAACTATTTAATTATATTATTTAAATTGATATTTTATAACTAATTTATTCAGTAAAAAAAAAAAAAATAAATTGTTTTTAAAATCAAGACAATAGTTTAGGTTTGAAAGAAGCGAGTTTTTGTGGTTGTTTAACAGATTTATCGTTGGTGGGTGCCATTTAATGATAATGAGTCGCGTGCCATGATAACAGAAAAATAAATATAGAAAGAAAAAAAAAAAAAAAACAGTTAATAAATATACGTGAATTTATAATCACGCGATATATATTATTACAATTGAAACTAAACAGTCGATACGATATTATATTTATAAATAAATATAAATATGGATTAAATAAAAATGATAATCTACGATTGCGAGAAAATCGTTTTGAGAAGACGATACTATGCGCTCGTGCTGTGCCGGGTATTGCGTAAAAATGAAAATAAAAGTTTTAATATTTAAATAAAAAATTGAACGAAAAAAATGAAATTAATAAATATATAAAGCATATGCACGAGAATATGCTGTAAAACGTCTAATCCACCGAAGTAATAAAATCGACAATGAATAAAAAAATTAAAAAATTAAAAAAAAATACAAAAAAAAAATGTAGGTAAGCATAGGTCACGCGATTATTAATAAATATGTATCTTGATCAATGAAAATGCGTGCAAGTAAATTTTTGTAATAGCAGATAATGATAATAATAATATTAATAATAATAATAATAATAATAATAATAATAATAATAATAATAATAATGATTATTATAATGATAATTAATAAATAATATTAATAATTAATTAAAAAAGTAACAAAAAAGATAAATCGACGCTTGACTTTAGCTCTCACCGACATATCCTGATTTAAAACAAATAAAACACAATTAAACGTACATACTGCATACATTAGCGAGTATAAATGTTCTATAGGGTAAATATAAATGCGTATAAAAATAAAACTAAAGGTATACCCTTAAACAGAAAAACAATAAAAATAATTTACGAAAGATAATTAGAGTTCTATTATATAAATATATAAATAAATATAATATTAATATTAATTATAATAATAATAATAATAATAATAATAATAATTAGTACAACTAAGAAGTATGTACTGTAAATAGCTGTCATTTACTTCCCTATGTCCATTATTACGGATAATATGATTAATAATTAATTAATTATATATAAATATAAATAAAATACAAACTCATTGTACTGCAAGACATTAACCACTGTTGTAATAATTATCTATTATTAGTTATTTTCATGATTATTGCTATTATACATATAAAACAAAACAAAAATAATTCATTGCAATTATTTATTATTTTTTTCTTTAGTCTAAACGTAGTGGAAGTAGACCCTCACTATCAGCACTGTTCTCTGGATTAAAACCAAATTATTATTATTATTTTAAATAGTTAAATCTGAAGATATAAATTGGTTTTACCTCAATTATACATAAATAATGTTTCTATATTAAAAAAAAAAAAAAAATAGAGAAGATTGCTGGTGATGCTTAAAAAAATTTTTTTTTATTTTATTTAATTTATAAATATTGTTTATTAAATAAATTAAATTTATTGATAATTAGAAGTCTCTTTTAAGCATTAGCAACTGGTGAGTCTGCAACGACCTCAAACTGTGATAATAGAATGATTATTTAAATTATAAATTAAGATAATTTTTTTTTTTATTTATTATTATTGTTAAATATTTTTCAATTGAATTCATTTTTATTTTTAAGTTTTATTTTGAATTAAAATTTTAAATCATAGAAAAAATTTATTCATAATATTTTTTCATTATTAATTATTATATAATTAATATTATTATTATATATTGTGATGTTAGATTAAGATGCGATGTCAGAAGTGTGAATTGAGGTCGTTTTAGTCAAACCGGAGGCTAGTGTGAGGGATCACTTTCATAATTATCATTTTTTTCTGCTTTATTAAAAAATTTTTAAACTATAAAAATGATTTTTTTCTAGCGATTCAATTAATTAAAAGTGATTGAGAAAAATGATAAAGTCAAGCTAAACGAAGTCTAGAATATTCTCACAAAATAATTAAATAAAAATAATGACAATTGTATATTGTGATCGATTAACAAACTACAATGTAGTTTGTTTGTAATGTCATTAATAACAAAAAAAGATAAAAAATGTGTAACATAAATTAATCCATAATTCCTTTTTTTAAAAAACAAAATTTATTTGATTAAGCTGTAATTTATCAATCTTGTTCTACAGAAAGAACAAGATGACACTGGATATCATCCCAGATTATATTGAATGAAAAAAAATTTCAGATAGTAGCTAGTATAATCCAGATTACAATAATTCAGATATCACGCAGTATAATCTGGATTTTTTTTAGCTACTATCAAAAATTTTTTTTTCGCCACAGATATCATTGAGTATAATCTGGGATGATAATCAGTGTCATCCCATGCAAAAACAATTCTGATTCAAAATGAATTTAAGATTGAAATTCATATTTTGCTTTCCTGCTTCAGAATTTTAATAAAGACTTAAAAATATTTCATTTATAAAATTTATCTTAAGTGTTCTTAAGCCTTTATTAAAATTCTGAAGTACACTGAAGAAAAAGTTAACTTGATTCAAGAGAAAATTTCTTGAACCAAGAATATAATTTTGAAGAAGGTGATTGTCTTGAATCAAGACAAAAAATTTTTGAATCAAGTAAAATTTTCTTATATCAAGAAAAATTTTCCTCAATCAAGAATTTTTCTACTCAAATTAAGAACATTAAGTTCTTCAAAATGATATACTTAATTCAGGAACATTTTTTTTCTGTGCAAAATCAAAAGCTAATTCATATTTGTGTCAAAACATGAATTTTAATCTTAAATTCATTTTGAATCAGTATTTTTTTTAGTACAGGATCTTGTTTTTTCCGTGTAATTTGTACAATTATTTTATTTAATTAAATTGACACTGTAATTATTCAATCTCGATGTTGACAGCAGCATCCTCGACTACCATTTGTTCAGAAACAAGAATTGGTTGTACGAGCGGCAACGGATCTGGTGATTTTGTGTAAATATTACTCGCCGAGTGTTCTTTTAAATATTCACCGCCCTTTTCGTCGTACTCTTGACGCGTTACCAAAAATTCGGGTAAATTATCATTAATACCAAAGTCACGTGCTCCGTACCAACTGTCGAGACTCGGATTTTTAGCTATACTAATTTTAAAATCCGACTTAAATGGCCTTATCTCCTGCAACTCGCGATTTAAACGTCCGAGCAAACCCGGAAATTTGGCGGTTCCGCCAGTTAAAAATACATTGCACACAAGCAGTGATTGTACTTCTGGTGAATAAAGCTTCAACACAAAGTCTATCGTCTCGGGAATACCAGCTTCTAGCAATCCGATCATCGAAGGTTGAAAAAGCACTTCTGTTGCGCGTATGCGCTCCAATCCAACGTGCAACTGATGAGTTTCTCCAGGTATCACCGGTGTGTTAGAACCTGGACCGTCAAACTCGGGATCGTGTTGACGTAAAATTTCTTCAACTTCCAGGAGCCGTTCCTGCTCCAACTCGGAATCTGAATCGCCACCTTCCTTTTTATTAACAAAAAATAATTCCATTAATTTTTTTTTTAATATTTATAGTAACTCAAGAGAGATGTTTTATATATAACTCACTCTATTAATAGCTTTATACACGTCCCAGTCTTCGTCTCTCATTCCAAAATCGTCGTCACGTTTTTCTTTCCTCGCTAACTGACTTATTATACGCATTCTCTCTTGTGCAGCAGCTGTTCTACGTTTAGCCATGTCTTGCCTACGTTGCCGCTTGGCTGATTTTTTATCTAATATTTCTTGTCTTAAAAAAAAAAAAAAAAAAAAAAAAAAAAATTAATTTAAATAAATATTTTAATACAAGAAAATTAAAAAATTTTTAAAATTGATTTTATAAAAACAAAATTTTTATGACTTATATACTTAAAAAAAAAAAAGTTTAATAATTATAAATAAACTGTACCGTCTTTTCCTTAAACTAGATATCCATTCGTCAAACTCAGCTTGATCTTTTGGCTGAAAACTGGGTTTTATTTTAGGTTTTTGTTCTTCAGTACCAACATTATCTTCTTGAGAGTTAGCAGCGACTATTTTTTGTCTAGTTTTTTCAACTTTGGCTTGCAAATTATTAATCATTTTAGTTAACTCAGCCTCGTTTGTTAAATTAAATGATTTAATAGCCTGTTGAAATTCCTCGAGCTCGCCTTCTTCCACTAAATCTTGAATCGCCAGCAATTGATTGAGCTGCTCTTCATCTTCAGCTAGCTGTTAAAAATTTTGTTATTAAAATAAAATAAAGAAGAATATTAATTAATTTTTTTTTAGTAGTTACTCTTTCTTCTCGTTTGCGAGCATTCATCTCCATCAAACGACGTGCCAATTCCCGTTTTCGCTCTTTTTGCTGCTCTGCTGTCAAACCAGGTGTTGTTGCTGGCGCTACGTACGGCAATTGTATTCTTAACACATTTGCGTCATAGTGATCTGGGTCTGACCATTTTGTTATTTCATCTTGATAATCAAGTGCAATGCTTGAGTATTCATGTACTATTTCCTGCATAATTATTTATTTTATTAATTTATTAATTATTTATCTATTATCACTAAAGATAAATGAAAAAAAAAAAAAATATTTTTTTCTAATTTACAGAAACTTACTTCAGACCTACTAGGTGTAATAGCATTAACATGAACAGGATATTTAAGTTGTAATAATCTGTGCATGTATGATATAACATGAAACCCTCCAACATTTATTCTACGTGAATTTACAGTATCAACTTTACCATCGATGATAGGTATCACATGTGTTGTATGATACCCGACATTAATAATGAGCCCATCAGGAGGACAATTGTTATGTTGATATGAAAAAAGACAGTCGATACCGTAAGCTATTGATGGAACACTGTAGCATTCAAAAAGTAACTCTGCCATCACTAATAAAAAAAAATAATAATAATTAATCGTGTGAAGGTAGATTTTTTAGTAAATATAAGATAAATTTTTTTAAAGTTTTCAACTGATCAATTCTTGATTAAATAATAAAAATTAAATGACTAAAAATGACAATAATTTATGAAAATGAAGTTAGTTGACAATTCAAAATTTTTATTAATTTTTTATCGAAAAAATTTCAATTAAACAATTAAAAAAAAAAATATCATGTGTTAAAAACTTAAAAAACTATAAGTGCAATTTTTTATAAATATCTTTTTAGTTGTAATTTAATTTAAAAAAAAAATCAAAAATTTTTAGACGCCTGCTAACTTCAGTGTCATGAAAATGAAGTTAGCTGACATTTCAAAATTATTAGAAATTTTTTATTGAAAAAATTTCAATCAAAAAATTAAAAAAAAAATTGTCACATGTAAAAAACATGAAAAACTACAAGTGCAATTTTTTAGAAATATCTTTTTAGTTGTAAGTTAATTAAAAAAAAAAAAATCAAAAATTTTTAGACGTCTGCTAACTTCAGTGTCATAATAATTTACTTAAAAAATGAAAATACTTGATGAAACTTACAATTTCTGGAGTAATTAGGATTCAAATAAGCTTCTGTCAAAACAATAGGATGATTAACGCAGCCTTCAGTATCAATGCCCATATGAGTGAAAGTGTAATCAAATATTTGTTCTTGAGCTTCCAAATGCGTTACAATATTACGATCAAACTGGGTTTTCAATTGAAAACGCACTGACTCGATATTTGTTATGTCATTACCCACCTGTACTTCTCCGTCTTTTTTACCACGTTCTTTACGTGGTTTGGCGATTAAATTTTTGAATATCAATTGAGGCTCATTTTCTATTGCCCAACCAACCCGGCAATTGTATGAACCTGGAATAATAATTATTAATAAGCTAAAACTGATTTGGAGTTAAATAATTTAATTTTAAAATTGATAGCTAAAATAGCAAATTAGGAAAATATTTATAGATCAATTTTAATATTCTTTTTATTAGAATGGTTTTTAAAAAAAATTTCAACTAAGTATTTGCTATTTTAAGTATAATAAATAAAATTTAAAACAAAATAAAAATACCATTGTCAATAATTAATGGAATTGATTCATTCTTTATTTTATCTGGATAAACATGAATAATATCTTGAATTGTTTTTACATCTTTTAACTGAACTATATCCATTGTTTAACCAAAATATTTTATAAATAAAAAATTGTTTGTTATTGTAATCAAATTGTCAACTTTTAAGGTTATGAATAATAATTATGGCGCGTAATTAATATGATGTATCTATAGAAGAAATAACAAACTCCTTTTTTATCAATTGATGTTACATAGTCAAAAATGTTTAATTTCGGTAATAAAAATAGATGGCAAGCTCTGGATTAAAGTTAATATATTCTGAAAATATTTAAAAGTAATTGGATAATTAAAAAAAAAAAAAAGCTATTTCAATATTTCCAATATTTCTTTTTAATTTTTACAAGAGCAATTTTTTATAAAAATTATTTTTCCAGATATTTGATAATTTTTCTAACAAGAAAAAATTATTAAAAAAATTGACATGAAGAAATAAAAAAAAATGAAAAATACAATTTTTTTAAAATAATTTTTTTGTTAAATAAAATTAAAAATTGTCAAGTGACGGCTAAATTTAATAGTCATAATCAAAATTGGTATTAATGGAAATAAACGTCATGTAATATTACAAATTCGGCTAAAGTTCTTTGTGGTTGTACATATCATTGATTAAAACAAGTGACTTTTAACATGAGTTTTGTCCCTTCCCGAGGGCAAGCTAAAGATAGGGAGACTATACATAACATAGTCTAGACATAGTTATACTATAATTCCAACGTTTGGGTCCTCGTACTGTACACTGTACCTGAAGAAAGACAAGCAGGTAAGAGACGCTCCCAAACACGACCAGGACCATTTACTTCTTCTATCCTTATAGTTTCTTGTTAAAATGCTCGACATTTTAGGAGTCATCGTCAATTTTGCGTCATCGTCAACCCTTCAACCCTTTAGCAATTTAAGGTTTATTTTTTGCTTAGAGTTACATGAATCTCAAGAAGTAAAATTTTTAAATTTCAGTTTAAAATTTATAAATTTCAATATTGAGCTCATTAGAATGCGTTTTGGTATTAGGGTAGTAGGAGCAGGATGAAAGTGACATTTTGGTCCGTCAAAAAGGAAAAATACAATGAATACCACAGAACACAAAAATGTTAAGAAATAGTTAACTCATCCTTATATACCTGGAGATACCTGATGATAATAATAATAATACTAAAGTTAGCTGACGTTTTTAATTTTTTAATTTCGCTTCATTTATTAAATTAAAACTAAAATATATCTTTTTCAAAATTGCACTTATAGTTTTTTAAATTTTTTACAAAATAAAATTTTTTTTGTAATATTTTTTTTAATAAAAAAAATTAAATGTCAGCTAACTTTATTCTTATCTCCTTTTCTGAAGTTTAGGGTACGAGATATATTACAAATACTCGATTAGTTAATACTTGAATGAAATTTATTGCGTGCTCCGGTAAAAGTTAATATTAAATAGAAATAATTAGTAAGTATTATTAATATTTTTGATATTTTCTGACGTAAGTCTAATACAACAATTTTTTTCTCTAATTTTTCCTAATATTGTTAGCCTGTATTTCCTTCCAGGCATAAATAATTTATCCTCAATTCATATCTAAATTTGTCATTAAAGATAATAAATTTGAGTGAAAAAAATAATTCGGACGGCCCAGACCAGGACAAATTAAAATTTTTAATATTGATATAATTGACGAATAATTTTCGATGGAAATTACTGTTTTTTTGAAGACAGAGAAACTAAAGATGCCATTGATTTACAAAAATCTAAAAATGAATTGTTTTACTGTTTTAATTTTTTTTGATCTGGAAAAAACTTTTGTTCGTTAATCATTCAATTCTTCTAAATAAATAGCTCAAATCTCTTCTTTGAAATGTATTCTCTATAAATTGGAGTCGTTGCAAAAATTTATAAGCTATTTTTAAAACTCCAGAATTTTTAAATCCGCTTTAATCATCAAAAACTTCAAAAATTGCCAAGTTTTAGCTTAAAATCGCGCAACCTCAAGAAAATTACTACTGAATTTTTATTATGACTCAAAAATTATATAGAATACATCCATAAAAAATCAATACAATAATTCAATTAAATTCGAAGTCTATATATCTAAAAATACAATTACATTAAGCGCCCAGCGGGTACACCTAGTAATATATATATATATATATATAATAAGAATAATTATTAAGGAATAAAATGTGGAAATGATAAGAAGAAACATTATTGTTATGATACAGTATTGTTTTTATTAAATTTCACCTAGAAACAACGAATCACAGAACGTTACATTAGAGTTTCTTAATGTCAAATTTATATTATAATATTATCAATAATAATAACCTTAAAAATAATAATAATAATGAAATAATATTAATAATAATATATTCACATTTACAATTAATGTATTCTACAATTTATATAATAAAGTCTTAGATTAAATTACTATAAATTTAACTGTGATCAAAAAATTATCAGTAATAAATTTCGGACCTAAAAAATAGGTACTAATAATTGTTATTATTTATTCCATGTATTACAAATATTTTTATGTTTGTTTGTATTCAATTGATAAATGTTTATTGATGTAGGTACTTGCTTCGTCGATTGTACTGTGTTCATTTTATTTTACTCAATATTCAATATATATTTTCATTTATATTTATATTATTATATAATTTATTTAAATACACGTAATAATATATCCAAATATTTGCGTATTAAAAGTTAGTTATAATATTTTATTCCATTTAATCAAATTTTTTTTTCATTTTTTTTTTTAAATATTTTTCATTAAAATCTCTTAATATTTTTGAAAATAATAATTGGGTCAAGGGAACATGACACATATTCTTCATTATTTTTATTATTATATTTCTTCTTTAAGTACTGACAATGAGACAATTACAGTATCGTGATACGTATAAAGGATTTCATTATTTTTTTTTAATATTTCAGTTTATTATTTTCTTTTTTTTTTTTTTTTTATAAAAGGCAACGTGTCTTTGTAATTTATAAAAAGGCAATTTGCTTTGTATCATTAGTATGTCTGGCGTCCCGGAATATTCATTGTTATGCTGATTTAAATTTAATATTAAATCATTACACTATTATTAAAATTATTATTTTCCTCACTTTTATATTTTTTTATACGTTAAAATTTCAATCAAAATTTTATTTAGAAAAATGCATGGGACACAGGCATTATTGGCAGCATTTAATCACTGTAGTTTATTTGTTTGGATTTATTTAAAAATAAAATCAATATAAATTTTTCTTCTATTTAATTTTACATATATCTTTAATGAAAATAAAGTTAGCCGACATTTAAAAAATTTTAATATTTTTTTTAATTAAAGAATTATTAAAAAAAAATTTTTTTCATTTGTTAAAAACTTCAAAAATTATAAGTGCAATTTTTTAGTTATAATTTAATAAATTAAGCAAAATAAAAAAATAAAAAATGTCGGCTAATTTTATTATTATATATCTTTAAATAATTATAAAAGTCTGAATTTTAATAAAGAGAGCTATGAGTTCAACACATTCTATATACCCAATTATTAATAATTATTAATTATGTTTCATAGGTAACACCGGTACGTACCCAATATATTTATTATTTTATACAATTAATTATTTTATTAATTAACTCAATATTAATAATTAAATCGTTCATGCCTTAATACGTCTTTATATTAAACAACGATTAAACCTATAGATATTAATATTTCTTAAATGATTTTTATATACAAAAATTGTTACTATATAATTATTATTTTTAATTCTTAAAAGCTCACAACGCGCGCCAGTGCGTGAATAAATAATATAATAAACTTTATTTATTTACTGTTACTGTTATTAATAATTAATCATTAATTCATTAATATTTATATTTATAATTATGTATATATAATATTACATGTCCCAGGTTGATCAGGGAGAGGGTAACGCACTAATTTTATAACAGAAGGCTTCGGTATAAAAACATGGAAGCTATTTTTTTATTTTCATGTGCGCTGAATTATTAATCCAAATTTTATTATTTGTCGTTATTATTTAAACAATTAATCTGAGCATTGGTCAATTATGAGATTGGTACAAATATTGTACTGTGACAATATATATATTTATATAGTAATTCAGTAATGAATAATAGTAATAATAATAATAATAATTATGATAATAATATTAATAGGTAAAGTTTTACCCACAAAAGTCATATATGTATTTCATTTGCTTCCTCGTCCTTGATCCCTGATGTGGTGTAATACATCTCACAGAGACACATCGACACTCACTATTTTAATGACAATAACATACAATATATATTTATATTATATATCATATACATATACAATTATATAATATTTTAATAGAAGTTACGAAATATGTAATTTGTATTTATATTTTTTTTTTTTTCGTTACTTTTTTTTATATAATATTTACAGAAATTTTTAGATGTCTGTTTTTAGACGTAAGACCATTCATTAATTACGTAAGGACAATTTTGGTCACTTTTGACCCTCCCTACCCCCATGTAAGATTTTATCTTGATCTTCTAAGTAATAAACTGTTATGTTACACGGAAAAAAATAAGATGACACTGGATATCATCCTTGATTATACTCAGTGATATCTGCGGTAAAAAAAAATGTCAAATAATAAGATAAAAAGACCCCGTTATTGATACTGGCCTAGTTGTTTCACATTTGCAATTTTATTCTAATTAAAAGAATAAAATATTCTCAAAAAAAAAAATTTATTTTAAAATTTATAATTCAACAGTTATGTTTATTAATTTATCAAAGTTGATTTATTTTTTTTTAATTAAAATAAAATTGCAAGTTTCAATAACTAGACCAGTGACAATAACTGGGTCTTTTACCTTAACTAGAAAAATAAAAATCCAGATTATACTCCGTGATATCTGGAGCTACTATCTGAAATTTTTTTTCACTCAGTGAAAATAATCCATCATTTTTATTCTTTAACAAGTAATAATATTTTTTTATCAAGAAATGTTTTTTATTTTTTTTAAATAATGAAAATATGATAATATTTACTATAA